GGCTCCTCACTAAGCTTTATTGCCATTTTTCAGCGACTTGCATTTGAAAAGGATTAGTATTTGTTAAATCAAATAGTACTTCTATGAAAGCCACTTAGCACATATAATTGTGGGCAATTACAGTTGGAAAGGAATAACGAAAAGTTTTCATTTAACTTTCATTTCCCCACTCATTCGCCCTTACTGCGTACAGAGCTTGGACAAAATTTTCTGTTTCAACCGCACACCAGCTGTGTGGAAACAAAAATCAAATAAAACCTAACCAACAAATGAAAATGTTTATTTCCAACACAACAACAGTGGTGGAAGAATAGGGGGGAAGCACAAATCTCATCAAGTTCACTTCAGTGCCATTGGATATTGGTTGCTTTCCTCCTTTGTTTACTTCTTTGCACAGTCGTTCCAAATAATGAATAAATAAATGGCTGGAAGTAAATAAGTAAGTGCGCTGTAGGAAATGAGCGATGTATATAATAATAATATGATATATAATATATGACAATAAATATAAAGGGTGGTTTTTGCGACGTGTGTTCTTAACGCTTTTATTGCCTACGATCAATCGAATCTGTTTGAACTAAGAAATGTAAATTTTTCAGTTTGAAAATTACTCAATCAATACTGTAGAGACGATTACGTTGCCCTAGATTCCGGGAACTCGGTTAGCTTCAAATATATAATTATATTGAAACAGGGTACCGAGTGCACCATATGTTACCATAACATTTGAAATTTGAATAAATTATTGATTTGATTTTTTCTGTACAAAAACTTTATTTGTTGCTTTTTATTTTATCTTCATTATGTTTTGAAAATAATATCCAACAAAGGAGCGCCTTTATTTTGAATGGAATTTGTAAAAAGATCGCTTTTTTCGTGCATTTTCCAGCGAGTCGGTAGTAATAAGAAATATTTTACGGCGAATAATAGTATTGAGCTCAGCTATGGTCTGAGGCTTATCAATGCAAACTTTGCTGTTCAAATGCCACACACAAAAATAAGTCCGGTGGCATCAAATCGGACGAGCGCGTCTACCAGTCGAAATCACCTTGCGGGGTAGCGTCATTTAACCACGGCTAGTGTGTGCTGTGGCACCGTCTTGGAGGAAACAGAAGTGAGCCATATCATTTTCAGTCATTTCCGGAAACACAAAGTCACGCAGCGTCGCTCTTCAGTGCGTGCCATTGATCGTCACGGCGTTGTCGTTGTCCAAAAAATAGTTCTGATAATTTTTTTGGCATACGCACCGAACCTAATGGTCGCTTTTTGATCAGAGAGAGGCTGCTCGAATATCTCACAAGTATTTCCGTTCGCTCATAATAATTTTGAACCGAAACTCACCATGGTGCTAGTTGTAGTTGATTCATGTCACGAAATTGATTGATATGACGCGCTGAACATGCCGCTACATATGTATGTCAAGTTTCAAATGTTATCGCAGTACATGGTGCACTCTGTATCAGTAACACCAACCAATATTTTTTGGAAACTACTGCCAAGCTTTTACATGAAATTCTGAAACACACGTATATCTGTTTGTTAAATCTTTTATATGTTATTAAATATTTATTTTATCTTTTTATTTCATTTTAATTTATTAGTTTTATTATTTATATTATATTATCTTATTTTTTTTTATTATTATTTCATATGTTGCTTTTTTCCTTCACTTTTATTTAATCTAAACCAATTTATTTTAGTTTCTTTGATTTTATTATTTTATATATTAATAATATTTTTATTTTATATAAAATGTATTATTTTAGTTAAATTTATTTTATTTTAAAAACTATTTTGATTTCTAATTTATTTTATTTTGGTTTTTTTTTTATTTTAATTTTTTGTAATTATGATTTTTAAATTTTTATTTTATTTTATCGTAATTAACTTTATTTTAATTTATTTTGTTTCATTTTATTTACCTTAATTTCATTTATTTACATTATTTTATTTTATTTTGTTTTATTTTTTTTATTTTGTGTTAATCATATTATTTAATTTTATTTTGTTACATTTTATTTCATTAAATTTTTTTAATTTTAGTTGATTTCTTCAATTTTAAATTATTTTATTTTAATTTTTTTATTTCTTATTTTGTTTCTATTTATTTATTTTTAATGTATTTAAATTTTTTTGTTTTATTTTGCTTGTTATTTTATTTTACTTTAGATTACATCGTTGAATTTATTTCATTTGATATTCGTTTGTGTAGTTAAATTAATATTTTTTATTTTAAATTATTTTATTTTGATTTATGTTTTTTTTATTTATTTTTTTCATTTTATTTTATTCTTTATTTTAGTGTGTTTTATGTTCTATTTTTTTATATATTATTTCATTTAATTTTTTTAGATTTTAGTTAATTTATTTAATTTTAAATTAAATTATTTATATTGCTTTAAGTTGTATTACTATTATTTTTAATGTATTTTACCTAATTTTGTTTTTTTTTTTTTAATTTTCCTTACTATTTTATTTACTTCAGTAGTCGTATATATTAAATTTTCGTTTGCTCAGTTAAATTAATATTTTTTATTTCATATTATTTTTTTTGTAGAATTTTTTTTTTTTGCGTTTTATTTTATTCTTTATTTTAGTTTATTTTATTCTATTTTATTTTGCATATTTTTTAATTTACGTTATATTTTATTGCTTTTTATTTTATTTAGTTTTTATTTATTAATGTATGTTTGTCTGGTGTTACTCGTAATGAAGCAGAGTCGTGAAGTGAATTTGAGTTTGGTTTCCTGCTGGGTGATTGCAATTTGGAACATTTTGAATGCCACTAATTTTTTTTAAATCAAATACAAATATATCCATAAATTCTATTCCTTCCTGTCTAATATTCTTTTTTTGTCTATTCTCCATTTACATATTTACACAGAGCGAGCGAATCGCTGATTAGCCCTCAGGCAAATGCAAACTTTCCATATTTCTCTGCGGCTTATGATTGCTAATACAATGCATTTGCTCTTTGCTTCCAGCAATTGGATTCAATTTTATTTAAATTATGTTCGAGATGTTTAGGATGGTAACAAAAATTATGGATTGAAATAAAGTTTTCACATAATAGTGTTCTAAAATGATTAGTAAATGCTTTAAGCAAAACACTGGTCCTTTAACATAAATTCAATCGAAACTAATCGAAAACCACATAACCAAGGTAGGCGATATTAAAGAAGTCAAAAAATTAATCATTGTAATATTAATCTTAACTCGAGTTCTTCTCACTATTTAATTCTCGCTCCTTTCGGTACAGTATCACCCATAGCTAAAGCTAATATTTATATCCTTATAATATTTACTTATTATCTCCAAGCTCGTTCAAAAATATGCTATCATGCTGGCAATGACTAAACTTTAAATTCAAAATAAAACAGTTTTGAAAATATTATATAATATAAATACTTCTAATCGGATTAAAAAATTTGAGTAAAATTGTTTTAGTTTGAACATTGTACACACATAGAAAGACATGGTAAAAATTGAGGTTTCGCCATTTACTGTAATTCTAAATCACAATTAGCTGTTGAGACTCTACAGCCGCGGTGACCGCGTGTCATAGCTTTATCGAGAAGATATAAGCAGTAATGGCAATGTCATAACTTGTTAGAGATTTCATTGTCTTTCTTCCTCACTGTCATAGACACCGTGCATGCGACTATAGCCGGGTTCACAACAGTGCGCTCCTTCACGGCAAAAATTCTAACGAATTGAAATTGTAGCCGCGTGGCACTTTCAGCAAAATTGCGCTTTCAGGGGATTTTATACCAAGAAAGAAGTATGCCACACTTTTGGTTCCTGCGAATGGTGTCGAGTCGATGTTAATGCCACACTTATATTTACCGCTGGACGCACTAAACGATAACGAACAGATTTGGCGCACTCACTGCACAAATTGAACCACAAACTGCGTGATATGCAAGTTATTTCGCTCGAATCGCGTGCGTAATTTTCCGGAAATTTCTGTTAAAGACTAACCATTTAAGAAGTAGATAGATAGAAGTAGTAGATTCCCCAATTCTTTTTCATCTTAATAGTTGCCATTTCCCAAATCGGAAGCCCTGTACTGAACTTTTGACATAACGAAAATTTTATTGCAGGTGTCAAAGCTCAAATAAACCGGAGCTTCAAAAGCTGAAGGCTGGTGATCAATCCACATACAAAGTTATAACCAACATTTCCATAGTTTTCGAAGCAAAAAATATTTTGCAAGCTAAATATAGAAATATTAAGAATTTTCTTAAGAATCTGGATGCTGATTTTGCTTTGTATTTTCTTATAAGTAAGGTTAAATAAATATGGGGTCAACGAGGTGTAAATGCTCACTCAACCGTTAAGGTTAAGTTCTCGAAAAGTTTTCACTTTAGTATTAAAGAAATTATTTTTTTTAAATTTAATTTCTGCTCAATGAAGCATATTATCTACCAACAAATGTGCTCAACGAGTCTTAATCATTTTACAAGCCCAAAACAATTAATTTTAAATGTCGTCAAATCACCCGATCCAGCCAAATTATTTGGGGAAATTCCTCAAATGTGTGTGAAAAACGTCTGTGTTTATATTTTCATTTTCATTTTTAATTTAATCAAAAGAAAATGAAGCAAGAAAAGGCTGGGTGTTCATTAGGCGCACCAGCTTAATTGCCTAAATTAAAACATGCAAACTCAATTCTCATGAAACATTAAACCTTAATGTATTCAATTAAAAAGCAATACCGGGACATACATGCATGCATACTTACGTTCCATTTGCGCGTAAAAATATTCAATACTTCGACACTCACATACTTGTGCATACCTTCGATGCGCACCACTTTCTTGTGGTGCTGTTTGGTTTAATTAATTTGAAATTAATATTTAATATAATTTCCGAAGCAATTTCTTTTGATTGCTTTTTTAATTTTCTGCTTTTTGCTTACTCTCTTATTTTTTCTTGCTGCTCATTCATGTATTATTATATTTAATTATATTTTTGTTATTGTTTTCATTTTTAAAAAGGTTGCTGAATCCGAAAATCATACGCGCTTGCACGGTGGTTCTAACCGATTGGGATCAAATTCCGACAAAATCTTTGAAGGCAGCTGTGACCATACTGCATCGCGTGGCTGTGGCTTGCTCTTGTCCGGCAATGTTGTATCACGTAAGTAAACTCAACAAGAAAAAAAATTGTAGCTAGTTTTGCTAAGAATTTATGGTTACTTTGTGTGGAACGTAACGTCTTGTTGATGGTAAACATTCAATTGCAGGATGAGAACACATCGCAATCCGTTCATTTTCGAAATAGTAAGGTCCAATGAACCCGCTGGACCATAAAGTGAAATAAACTGTGGGTAGAAATTCCTTTCAACAATAAGCCTTAGGTTTTTTGCGCCCCATTTGCCACAATTTTGTTTGGAAAAGATCGTCAAGACGTTTCCTTTAAATTTTCATTGTGAATTTTATTAATTTCAGTGCATTTTTGAAGCGTGTGTCGTTCAATTTTTCATAACGGAATAGGTTTTACTTGTCAAGTGTCAAAATATGACAGCATACCAAATGCCATCTACTGTTAAACCCATTATATAAAAGCCTTTGTGCTGATAACGCACAGCTTAAAATGGTCGTAGATACCTAAACGTCAGAGAGTGTGTTCCACATATGACGCAACCGATGAGAGAGTGAACTTCGGCCCGATATGTTTCAAAAAAATCTGATTTATTTTTAAATCGATTTATTTAAATAAAATTTGGAAATTTGTTACAGTTATAGCTTGGGTTCCAAATTATCATAGGAAAATTTTTTTATTTCAGTAAGAGTACCAGGAATCGATTTCATGGTTCGGTTTTATATTAATTTATAAGCTGTAATAGAACCGGTTATGTAATAAATCTAATAAATCTTAAAAGAACCATCTTAGAATTCCATTCAGATGAAGTCTCGGACAAACTCTAGTAATTTATCAATCGATCCCTCTCTTAGAAAAGTTTATACCTAAACTGTATAACTGTGTTCCATACAGTTGTTGAAATTTAAAACTTCTTAAATAATTTATTATTTTATTTCTGACTGAAAGGATTTAGACTTTGTACTACTACAATAAATAGAGTGAATTTAAAATACCCGCGTTGCATAGTATTTTAAAAATAGTAAGATTCGGCGAATTTTCATATGAAAGCAGAGTTTAAATTTCTTGATTGAAAACTCGGAAAATTCTTCAACGATATCATTATATTATGTGTATTAGTTTTCCAAAAACATTTTTGAGACCTAAAAATATATGTATATCTAGAATAAGCAACACTGACTGACTGGCACTGAAAATTGGCAAGAAAAACTGATTGTCTTCTTAGACAACATTCATAACAGTTTTTTCTGTTCGTCTCTAAGGCAATCTCCAAGTCCTCTATAATCGCACTCCTCAAAACATTTCGTCGTATCATGTTGAAGGTTCAACTGTGTTAAAGTGTTTAAATGAATCGATGGAATTTTTAACGGCTATACAACGGTCTGCAAATGCAAAACTGAAATAAAATATTTGCTACGATGTTGATGACGCAAGTACAACGTAGCGGCTTGGCGGTTGATAGCATTTGCATTGTTAATGTTAGTGTGCAAAAAATTCACTTACAGAACATCCACGGACTTGCATATTTTGACTAAATGTACATATTTCTAAATCTTCTCTCGCTTTGCGCTCTTTTCAACTTTTCTTAATTACTTTACTTGATTACGTGTGTGACTTCATGGAAATTAAAATGTGAACCGCCGGATTTTATAAATCCAACAAAGTTCTACTATTTACTTTGTGTCCAAAAGCAAGTGGTGATTAAATTGAAATGTCTTGCCTGCTCTTTGGGACGTGCAAACGCGAAATTAAACCTGAAAAATACATACCGTTAAACATTGAGCGCAGGTGAGCGCTAAGCACTGAGCATGAAACTTTGCAGACTAAATGCATGCAACTAATTTTGAATTTGCATAGGCGAATATGCGAATAGACGAAGCCTTTAATGGTGCTGCCAGTCAGTGTCTGTGAAGAAGAAATTCTGCTCTGCAAACTGCTTTTCATTTACATTGTAAAATTTTAATTTCAATTTCAAATTTTCTCTATTTACATTCAACTCACACATACCACGCATATTCGTATGTATGTGCATACATTTCTGGGTAACTTTGTACACATATAATAGGTGTGTTGAAAAAATAAGGGAAACTTTAAAAATTTTCGGACTACATTTGTTCGAATGTAATTCTTTCAGTGTTAAAGGGCTCGCCGGCCATGCGATTTGAGTTATCGCTACGTCCCTGGACACAAACCTCGGTCGTTTCGCTTACAGCTAAGAGTTGGTTTGAGGTCTCTACATGAGATTTAATGGCAGCTTTATATTGTGACAGGCTTAGATATTGTATTGGAGTTGAGTAACCATGAAGCGGCTTCTATTATTGCACTTACTTCAACTTGAAACACGCTGCAGCGGTTGGAAAGTCTCTGGCTCATATTATGTCTAAGGAAGAAACAAAATGTAAAATGATGAATAAATAAATATTTTTAAGAGAAATTAAAATTTACCAAATTTTTTGAACACACCTCGTAAATTTATGTAGACACTAGCCAGTTTGTTTTCCTACTTTCCGTTGATTTTATTTGGCACTTGGCGAATTTTCTCCACACAAAGCAAATATAAATCAAAGTCACCGACAGAATATTCCAGCAGAATGCACACCAGCAGTGGCAGAAGGCTGCTGCCGCCAATGAGTTTAAATAGAAATAGCTACTTAAAAATATACATGGTTTTTCCCCGTGCCGGTGAGTGTTGAATTTCCGGCTGCATTGAAAATTACAGCATCACAGGCGCAACTTCGAGTGTGAGATAGTTACAGTGTATTGCGGTTCACTGGCTTCCGGTTTACACTGGCTTAGCCTGACAAGGATCAATATAAAAATTTGTATGACCAATAAATGCTGATCTCTAAAAATAAAAATTATGACAAATATAAAAATAATAAAAAATAAATGTAAGAATAAAAATAAAATATAAAAAATGATGATAAAAATAAAAATATAAATAAAAATAATAATAAGAACAAAAATAAAAATGAAATAAAAGTTAAACTATAAATATAAATTAAAATAATAATAAAATAAAAAATAAAAATAATAGTTATTATTATTACTAAAAAAAAATATAAATAAAAACAGTAAGAAAAATAAAAATAAAAATGAAGATAAAAACAAAAAATGGAAAAAGAAATAGAATTAAAAATTAAACTGAAATAAAAATTAAAATACAAACATACATAAAAATAACAATAACAATAACAACAAAAAAAATAATAATGGAAATAAAAATTTAAAAATAAAAAGAGTATCAAATAAATTTAATATTAGATGTACAACTTTGCTTCCGTGGTTTTTTCCAAAATTAAAAGTTTTATTGCGAAAAAGTGCTTACGATGTATTATTCAAAGTATGTATTGTCCTTCGCTAGCGACAACTTTCTCCCATCTTTCTGGCAATTTTCGGATCCCGGCTCGAAAAAAGGAGTCCTCTTTTACACTATCCATAAAGCAATCACTTTTTCCAATTCTTCGAAGGATTGAAAATGTTGATTTGCTAGGCCGTGTGCCATCGAATAGAGGGGTGGAAGTCAGAAGGGGCGACATCTGGGGAATACGGCGGGTAGGGCAAGACTTCCCATTTCAGCGTTTCCAAGTACAATAGTTTTCGACCATTTTTGCGACGTGAGGCCGAGCATTGTCGTGTTGGAGGATGACTTTGTCATGTCGCTCTTGATATTGTGGCCGCTTTTCTTTTAGCGCGCGACTAAGGCGCATCAGTTGCGTTCGGTAGCGATCTCCTGTGATGGTTTCAACCGGTTTTAAGAGCTCGTAGTAAATCGCACCAAGCTGATCCCACCAAATACAAATCTTAACCTTGTTTGTCTCCGACATCGAAATCACCATTTTTTAAACGTTGAAACCACTCACGAGCACCATCACCGTAAGTTTCTGAGAGCATTCGATGCGCTTCAGCTGCATCTTTTTTTCGAATTGTTACAGAAAAGTAAAACTTCCCGCAAATGGCGAGAATTAGGCACATAAACGGACATTTGCTCCAGAACCATTAGAAACGAACTTGAAAATCCAGAACCAGAAAAAATGCATCCCCCGTCCAGCCGTTGAAATTGCCTGTTGTAGCGTAAAGACAGCCACAAAGGCATTGCGAGTGGACGTAGAAATGTAATGCAGAAAAAATAAATCCGTAGATTTCACATGTAAAACAAATAAAAATATGTTTTTTGTGCGCCTCCTTTGCTATTATTTTCAAACGTTTTTTTTTTTTTTTTTTAATTTATCCTCGCGTATTTTTCACAATTTCTCTAGTTATGTTTGCTTCTTCAATCCATTTGAAACTGCCTGGCACATCCGTAATGATCCGCAATGGCAGGCAAAATCACAATTTATTTTCTAGTAATTTGCTTTACAACAAAAGCTGTAATAAACAGAGCCCCGAAAAGAAAATTGGTTGAAGCTCATAAATCAGTGCTCATGCGCCCAAGCATTAGGCGTTTCATTTTCTTTATTTTTTTCTTAATTTTTGGTTTTTTTTTCTGGCTGTTGAAATATAATAAATTAAATTAAAAAATTTGCAAGGAAATTTGAGTAAAATATTTTCATCTTGATTAAAGAAGCAAAAAAAGCTGCAAGGAACCTCTGTGTTTTAGGTTGCAAATTAATGGTGGAAATTTTTTATTATTAGGCAGTGCGAGAAAAGTATATACATAGTTATGTACATACATACATACCAAAAATAGCATGGTAAAAAGTAATCCATTATGTTTGTTATAGATGGTATGAGTGATCTGAGGATTTGGGTGGTGATGTATTGACCTCACGACGAGAACCTGTGAAAATCGATTGTCCCAATTTTTTACCAAGAAGGTTAAGGGGTTTCTGTGAGAGAATTTCATATGCAAAGAAGTTCCAACTGAGCAAAAATCGAAAAAAGTATATCGAAGTTAGGAGGGAGTTAGTATAATATACCGTATTTTCTTTGATTATTGCTGATTTGCGGACACTCAAAATTTTCGCTAGATGATCAGACGATAAAGAATATTATCAAAAAGTTAACATTGATTGGGAACTTCCAGTCAAAAATTCAATAATAGGTCAATCTAATAACTACGGCCATTATTCACGGCTCCGGCCGATTTTATCCTCTTTTCAATACTCCAAATTATCACTTATTGAACGCGTAAAAAAGTTGTTTCCAGAAAATGTTTCAAAAAATTCTTCGAGAATTAACCCTTAAAAGCCGGATTTTTTCTTTACGCGGAAAAAAAATTATAAATCTTGCGGTTCTAAACAAACATTTTTCTGGAATTTTGCTTATAAGTAATAAAACTGATCTAAAAACCCCCAAAAGGTTGGTTCCTAGACTAACGCTGGGCACCCAGAATTACAAATTATGAAAATTAGTTTCGTATGAATGTGAAATTATTAGTATAAGAATATTAGTAAAACCAATTTAGGTTGATGAAATTCTGCGAAACAGTTTTTTAAGCCAAAAAACTTAAATGTTCTCTACATTTCCGGGGTTTATCTTCATAAATGTATTCTGATAAATGTCCTTTGTTATCCAGGCGAATGTCACGCAGCAGCAGCGGGTCAGACATAGGGCGATAACGTTTCGCAATGATTTCTGCTTTAAGACTATTTGGCTAAAAATCATAGTAAACTCAATATGGTCGAATAGTCGGATATTTATAAACCGACATATAGTAATTGATTTTCATGAATCGTTTGATTTCACCCGACGTGGTATTCAAGGAGTTTTCAAGGATTTTCTGCATCTGCATAGTTGTTATTTTGTTCGACAATTTTTTTTGAAATAACATCCTCTGGCATTAAAATTTAAAACAATTGAAATCGCAAATTTGAATTTAATCCTAATTTTTCCAGTGTCTTAAAATCATCGCCTCGAAACTTAACCCAATCTGAATACATCATTGCGCAACGCAGCTGACTAACCAAAATCGGAGTCTAGATCACTGTCGTTAGCAGAAAAATCGATGTCATCTTCACTTTCAAGCCACGCAAAAGATTTAATTTTTCAATAATTGCAAATAAATCATAGCAAAAATGTATTCACACAATTTCATAATTGCTAAATTTCAAACTCTCAATACCCAGCGGTTCCGCAAAGGATCAGCCAAATATTTGAAACATTCTTTATAATAATAACACGCACAATCACTACTACAAAGGCGATTCCGGTGAATTTATCGCAAGAAAAACTTTACTAAATACACACTTTCACTAAACTGATTATTTTTGAGGTCCATTCACACTTCCACATCAATTCAAACGATAATTCTTGATTCAGCACACACTCGTTCGGTAGTGACGGAATACCTAACGGAAGAATTGATTTTAGTCAGTTGGTTCCTTATAGAACCAGTGGGATATCAAGGAAAGAGATATACAATAATAGAAATGTAAATTATGTAACAATTCCCGATACTTTTCTGACTAAATGTTATGGAAAAAATGTTTATTTATTTTCCTTTTCCTTTTAATTCTTCCTGTTCGTCGTAACATAAATTTATTTATCGCATTTTTACCTCTCATGTCCTTGCAACATATATAATATTAACTTTGTCCGAAGTCGATTTGTCCGATTTGCGAGTTTAAGAGCGCGTACTGACTTGTTATTGCTGAAATTTATCGATAATATTCGAAATTCCATTTTCATTTCAACTTGGTTGCTTGATAGAGCTCTACTGGAACAGATATTTAATCGGCTGAGACATAAAATTCTCTGATCTCTTACTTTTCCTAGTACAAAATAGTTAATATATTTTTTAATTTGTTCCATTTGTCCTGTACATGTATATGTATATAAAAGGCATTGTGTGGGAGTTTTCCATTAAACTTCTTCTAAAAGATTTTTAAGAATTTTTGTGTGTGCTCCAGTGAATTCGAAAATGGATATGGATCAGTTTACTTTGAGAAGGTGAACCACGTATCAACCTCTCCAAAACTAAATAATTTATATTGAAATTCTTCCATTTTTACGAAGGGGATCAGATTTACTATATATATACTTGGACTGCTCATCATTGTTTCCTACCACATCTCTCACTATAAAAATTTAAATGTAAATTCAAAAATAAAGAAATAAAATAAAAACACAACAAAGTTTGTCCGAGTCTCTTCACTTCGGTTAGAATTTTATCGTATATCTACATATATATATGCATACGAGAGGTTTAACAAAAGTCCGATTAGCTGGTGGCTTTCAATTTTTTTTTGCTAAATCTTAAAATGCCCCAACCTTTACAATTTATTAGAACGATCGCCAAAAATGGAGACGAGAAAACGCAATATAGCTGAAAATGGGTCAGACGAAACTCCACCACCAACGCAAACAGAAATTCGCCATGTGATTATCTTCGGGTTTCGGCGCAACTTTCAGGCAATACAAATATTAAGAGAATGCCAAATTGTATATGAAACGATTGCAACGTCTTTTAAGACTATTGCCAAGTGGTTTCAAAGATTACAAAACGGACATTTCTGCGTAGAGGATTAACCCCAAGAAGGTCGACCTTTTCCACTGACGACGTCACCGCAGCTCTGGTGAAGTCCGAAATTGACGAGAACCCACTACTGACACAAGGAATGATTGCTAATTTGTTGAGCTCGAATGCCATGGCTGTATCGCGAATATTAAGTAATAATCGGAGATACACTAAGAACCTAAGCAAACTAGAAAATGGTCTGCCCAACAACTTAAGTAAAATCGTTACTGGTGACGAATCGTGGTTCTATAAGTGCGATCCAGAAACCAGGAGCGTAGCTGGTATTCCACTGGAGAGGGGTTACCGTCTAAACTATTTAGTGATACACCGAAGAGTGCTTACCAAAAGTTTGAAAAAATATCTGGGAAAACAGGAAGAAAGAGGACTTGAGGTGCCACTCTTTGCATCATGAGAACGAGCCATCCCACGCTGCTGAAATAATGCGAGTAATTTTATAGCGATCTGTGGCATCGTAAAAATACATCCTGCACCCTATCACTTTGGTACTTCTGGTTTTTTTCAAAAATTAAGGTAATTTAAAAGGAACGGTATTTAACAGTAACGAGGATACAATGATTGTGGTTAGTGCTGAACTTGATAAGTTTAAAAAGCAAGATTTTGAAGACGGTTTTCAGAAGAGGATCTATAGGCTTAAGAAATGCATTGAAATCAGTGACGATTATGTAGAGAAGATAGAAAAGGACAAATATTATAATTGGCGCTTTGTAACCGCTGAAGCGATTTTCGGCCGAGCTCCTCCTCCAATTTGAGGTTTTGCGTCTTGATGTATTTCCAACAAATGGAAGGACCTAACCGCCTCCGAAGGGCTGATAGGTTTTTATGAGAAGGCTTTATTTCGTGTCAGAAATACACTCGGAGGGGTTGACATTCCCTGCGGAGGGGCGACCGCAATTAGACAATTTGACTTAATTTTTTATTTCAATTAAATTTCTATATTTTTTGGATTTGTACCCGAGCATTCTACTTGGCAGTACGCAATGCTAACCACTCGGCTATCGCAGCCGCCAGCATAAATACAAACAATTTTTTTTGGTTTTCTGGTCAACTTACCGAACTTTTGTTAGTCCCTTCGAATATTGCCAAGGTGTTTTAAACTTAGGCATATCTTAATACATTGTACTGCTTTGGCTATCCACATATAGAAGGGACGTAAGTCATCCACAACAAAAAAAGGATTGCATATTAAATTACACTGACTGTAGTAATGGGGTACGACTATCTGCGTGGCGGCTGACGACTGATATGTGGTTTGGTCTCAGTTGAGCGCGCAATATAACCGCTAATGAGTTTCTACATACATATATATTCACAACTAAAGACAGGCCCATGAACAAGCAAGGATATAAATTGGTGCGTTGTTGGGCGTTTGTGTGCAATTATAAAATAAATTACAGGTGCAGTCAACAGCTGCTTGTGGCTAGACAACGCTTTGTCCGTGCCGTATATCATTTATGAGCTAACCGCTTTGCCAAACTGCAGTGAAAGAAGTCAACACACACTTACACTTTCAACACTTTATTTATTTGCTTATTTTCCACAATAATTTAACAATTTATTTTGGTTTCTCTCTCTCTCTCTTGCAGGCGAAACTCTTCCGCATTTTTCAGCGTGTTCTCAGCATCGAACGTGATGCCCACCATGAAGAATTGCGACGTCTCGGTATCTATATTGTACGTAAATTTGTCGAAGTTGCACCCACAAATCCGAAAATCTACGCTGAATTATTATTCTGGAAGAGCGTGAAGGAGGCTAACGAATTGGAAGGCGGCTATTGTGATGCATATGAGCCGTAAGTATGAATTATTGAAGCCAGCCCTGGTACTCGTCATTTAACCGCTTTCGTTATTTCAATAAATTCTACGCATACATATACATATGTATAACAACAGGCAACGGTATTGCTTTCTTCTTCAAAGCATACCCTCTCATCGCCTCACAAAGTGGCAACAGCATTTGAGCTATTCATGTATCACTTGCCTGCTGTTGATGAAATGATAAATGATTGTTTCCACTTTGTGTTAGAATACGTCCACACACCCTTTTACCTTTGTGTTTGTTTGCCTAACTTGCTGACTTCTCTCCACTATTTGATTATCTACTTCACAGCGCTAAAGGCGTATGGACCGAAGAACAAGAGGATCAACTGCGTATGCTCTTTGAGGAGAATCAGCGTAATCCAGAGACTGATAAGGGTAAGTTGTCACCATCCATATACAAATATAATATATATATATATTTATATATATACATATACGAGTATATATATATATTACATGTACATACTCAAATACACAAACTGTTATTTCACTTAAGTGTGTGTGTGTGTCTCAATAAAAATCAGCTTAATGCCTCCAGTCAACCGTCACAACCTTCTTCTGCTAAAGCAACCAGCCCATAATCATTCATTTGACTTCAATACACTCAGCTTAAAATCACAAATTTGTAATTGCATCCATCATATTGTCGTTTGAATTGATTGCCCTTGAGAGAATAAAGTTCCATAGAACCGCACATACAACAAATGCGTCAATATTTGTCTTTGACTTACATCCCAACGGACACCAAAAAATATTTTTCAAAATTTATTTTATAAATTTAAAATTACATTTTATTTTAGCATTTTCCCGTCATTGTATTTGATTACAATACTATTTTAAATTCATATAATATGTTACGAATTATATTTTTCAATACTAATTTTTTATTTCATCTTATTTAATTTTATTTTATTTAAGGTTACTTTAGTTTAATATTTTTTTATTTAAATTAAATTTATTAGTATTTTTAGTTTTATTTTATGTTATATAAGTATATTTTTCAGTTTTAGTTTATTATATTTAGTTATATTTTGTGGTTTATTTTGTTATTATTTTTTATTTTTATTTCATTTCTATTATTTATTGTATAATTGCTGATTTCATAAAGCTTTTATCATTTAATTTCATTATATTTGATTTTATGTCGCTTTATTTATTTTATCATTAATTTACATAATAATTTTTTATTTTAGTTGTAAGTCATTTGAATTATTATAGTTTATTATTGTTTTTTACTTTTCTTTATTTTATTCTGTTGGATTTTTTAATTATATTTTATTTTATTTCATTATTTTTTTGTTATATTAATTTCATATACTTTTTAATAACTAATATATAATGCAGTTTTTTATCTTATTTCATTTTACTTATTGTGTTGTTTGACTATCATTTTTATTTCCTATTTAATGCTGTTATTATTATATTGTATTTTGTTTAACTAATTGCAATTTTTGGATATTGTTCTTTTAATATTATATATTATTTATTATATTTTTTATTATATTTTGATTCTCATTTCGTCTTATATAATTTTATTTAATTTTTTCTTATTTTCTTTTAATTCATTTACTTTTATTTTTATACTCTTTGGTTTTTAAAATAAATTAATTAATTAAATTTTATTTTTCCTTTGTTCAGTTTTTTCTTATTTTATTTAATTTTGTTTATATTATATATTTTAATTTTTTATTAATTGTTCTTTTTTATTTTTAGTATTTATTATTTTAGTTTTACTTAGTTTATTTATTTTTATTTTGTTTTTTCTTTGTTTAATTATATTTATTTTTGTTTTATATTACTTGTTTTCACATTATTTGTTTAATTATTTTAATTTATATTTTTTTTATTTATATCGGGTTTATTTTATTTTATTTACTTTGATATATATTGTTTATTATTATTTTTAATACTATTTGGTTTTTTCATTTAAATTTTTTTATTTTAATTTTTAAAATTTTGTTTTATGTTATTATTTTATTTTAATTTTATATTATTTTGTTTTAATTTTTTCTTATTTTATTTTATATAATTTTGTATAATTTATAATGAAATTATATGGTTTTTTTATTTTAATATATTTAATTTAACTTTTTTTATTTTATCTTATACAATTGTTTTATTATATGTTTAAATCGTTTTGTTTTTTCCTTTTATCTATTTGAATTTAATTGTTTTAGTTTTATTTACTTCGTAAGATATTTTCTTATTTTATTTGAGTAATTTAATTTTATTTCATTTATTTTTATATTATAATTGGATTTTTCATTTTAATAAAGTATATTTATTTTTTTTCTTATTTTTTTATATTAAAATAATTTATTTTATATGATTTTTTGTCATTTAATTTTTTCTCATTTCAGTTATTTTAGGATTGTTTTATTTTTCATTTTATTTTTCACAAATATTTTTATTTTGTTTCATTGAAAAAGAATTTTGTGTTGTTTTTTTGTACTTTAATTTATTTTATTTTGTTCTTCTCTATTTGGGTTTATTCTATATTTTTTAAAATTGTTTAATATTTGGTTTCGTTTTTTTAGTTTTAATATTTATTCCCTCTAGTTATTTTATTTATTATATCTTATATTTAATATTATTGTTGTATCTTTTAACTTTATTTTGTTTTAATTTTTTTAAATTTAATTGTAATTCAGTTCGTTATTTTTTTATTTTATTTTATTTTATTTGTTTTTACTTTAATTTAAACTGATTTATTTAATTATATTTTATTTGACTATATATTTTTAAATTATGTAATTTTATTTTATTTCTTTTCATTCATTTTTAGTTTTATTTGACATTTTTCAAAATATTATTACTTTCTATTTTACTTTGCCACTAGTTTGTTTCGCTCTATTTTTCTATTTGGAATTTCCTACTAGACAGAATATTATTGCTTACTGTGATGCATCCCCATCTTTATTTTTGTTTGCAATTGTTGGGGCTATGTTCGCCAGCCTCTTATGTCCAGCCATCACGTACAATTGCCTCCGTCATTTGTGTCACATTGAGGCAGCTTTAACATTTCAATGAATTTGAGATTGTTTTTTATGCCTCTCGCATTGACTCCTCACATTGGTTGGGCGATGACAAGTGACAACACCATCACTGAAATGACTTAGCGACTAATATTTGTTTATATTAAAATGTCACAATTGTGGAAATTAATGACGTTGATGTTTGAGAAATAAAAATATTTGTGAACCTTGAATTCAGAAGCTGCGGTTGATTTATTGTTTATTCAAATTTATAACAATGATTTCCGAAGCTTGAGAATGTAGGCATTGTTGTGGTTGTCATTTATTATTTTTGAAGCAAATATTTTCAAAAGATTTGCTTTTTAACAATGGTATCTAATCCCTTTGATTTTATGAACAATGCAATCGGAATCAGAAGTAGACTTTTTATTTCATATTTGTAAAAAATGTGTGTAAATGGACAAAAGAAGAAATTGTTAGACCAAGCTTTTGATGCTGTTGTAACCGCAAAAATATTCTGCTAATTGGTTTCCGTGTTATATTGCAGGTTAATTCTTGAACCTCTAATACGTAAGGCTTACAACGAGCCGATACAAACCATTTGTTTAAATATGCGAAACCCGTATTTTCTTATATATCTCAATTTCGGCTTTATCCGTCGTCAGTTAAAAGAAGCATGTGTTTTCCTCGAAAACTGGGAAGGACCTGCTGTAACCGTCAATGCCGATCGCCACAAATTCTCGACTAACTCGAACCTTTAATCAAGAGGCGGATAAATTCTTCTGACTTCTACTAATTATCGATCGGATTTAACCTTATCTCGTCTAGTAGTATTATTAACCAAACGTGTTTACAAATTAATTCGATGCGTTCTCAAAGAACGGCTTCACCTGCAAATTGTAACCGATCTTGTTATAGATTCTTCTAGTGATTATGAAGAGTTATCTCACAGCCTGCGGTAGCTACAGTGGGATAAGCCTCCCTAATATCGCCAATGAGGTTCTGTCGAGCGTATTGTCCCACCGTCAACAAACTGATTGGACCTTGTCAGTGTGGCTTTAGACCTGGTAAGTCAACTTCTGACCTGATATTCACTGTGTTCCAATTTTTGGCCTCGTGGATCGAGGATCGATACCCCAATTTTAAAGCAGCCTGAATTTTGTATCCCGAAAATATTATACGCATGTGTAAACTTACGTTAAGCAACACCAAATGCTTCGTCAAGATTGGGAAGAGTCTCGTCTATCCGTTTGATACAAAACGAGGTCTCAGACAAGGCGATCCCTTATGGTTGGGCTTCTCTAATTTATTGGTTAATATGATTCTCTCAACGAACTGTATAAAGAAAGCACAATCTTCTATAAGAGTGTACACATTATGGCACATGCTGATGATATTGACATCATTGAGATCAACATCCCCGCCTTAGTTCTGTTTTCTCCAGACTGTATAATGAAACTGGTAGAGGGCGCAAGAAATATCTCGGCAATTGAAATGTAAAGTCCTCTTACGACGAACGAAAAAAACCAAAGTCTACATTTCTCACTTATCACCCCCAACTTGCTATATGGTGCCGAAGCCTGGGCGATGATAACATCTGATGAGTCGGTTTAAGAAGTTTTCAAGAGAAAGTGTTTTGCATAAAATTTGTGGTCCCCTCCGATTTGATAACGGTGAATACTACACCCGATGGGACGTTGAGCTGTACGAGATGCACGGCCACATTGTCATAGTTCAGCGAATCAAGAGGTAGCGGGTGCGCTGGCTAGGTCCTGTGGTCCGAATGGATAAGAGAACTGCGGCTTTCTAGGCAGTACCCGCTGGTAGAAGCAAAAGCATAGAACGACCGCCACTCCTGTGTAAATACCAAATAGAGGAGGCACTGGGTTTATTTAGTGTTTCCAGATTGCCCCAAAAAGTAAGAAAAAGAAATTAGATTTGTCAAAAATAGATTTGCAAAACTCGCTAAAACATGCTAAAACTCATAACGGCATATTTTGAGATGTTTTTTTTAGCATTGACTTTTGACTAGTACATTAGTGACAGGTCACCAATGAGTGTGGTACTAAGTCGGTGAGACTAGCTCAACGCCAGCTACTCGAATGACCCTTATATCGCTTATGCCTTCTCAAATCTGTTTTTTTCTTTATTTTTAATCACTTAACCACAGCTCCACTTATCAAATGATTATAAGGGATATCCGACTTCTATATTGAATTCCATACAACCGCAAATACCTACAGTCCTCTTTTTGTCAATACAATTTTAAAAGTGGTGTTGTTGCAACCGCAACCTCAACAACTAGGCGACCCAGACACCGCTTTCGACACATGTGCCAACAGCACAGCTTCAGAGCAATAACAAAAACATCGAGCATTGGCCGCAAGCCGAAAACACTTTATCACTTCGTCACTTTTTTCCTAGCTTTGCATCCCAAAGTAATTTGTGTAGGTAGAATCTGTGGTGCGGTGCGGTGCTGACGCTCTTTGGCAAATTAAAACTAAAACCCTAATTTTTGGTGTGAGGTCAAAAAAAATATCTATTGTTGTTGTCTCAATTTGTGGCTGTGTGTATGTGTGTGAAAGGTTAGAAAATAATAATAGTTTTGTGAACGTCCGTCTATGCGTCTAGTTCGTGTGAACACGCGTAGTTTTAAGGCAGCCCTAAATATATTTACTTAAACTTTTTTCAAAATTTCTTGACCCTTTTCCGCCATTGCAGATGTGATTGATTGGATTCTGGAGCATTTGAATAATAAAACGCGCACACGCCGCATGGTGCTTAAGAAAATGAAGGAGCTGGGCTTAATGTTTAAGGCACCCACCAAGCGTTCCACAGCCGGCGCTGTGAGTAAGAATGTCTGGCGTACCGAGGAAGACGAGGAGCTACAGAGTCTCTATGACGAACATCGTTTGGCTGAAGGTAAAGTTTAGTTGGTGTAATTTTCGCTTAGAGTCACTACTAATAATTTTCCCTTGCAGATTGTTTACAACGCATCGTCAACGAATTCGCTGAACGACGCACGAAACGTCAAATCATACAGCGTCTTCTGCAGTTGCACATCATAGCCGATAAATCTGAGATCATGCCCAAGAAGCAACGTAAGCGCAAGTCTAAAAAGAAGTCTGGCAATGAGGATGAGTCTGATATTGAAGGCGAGTATATGGAAGAGCCGCAATTTGGCGAGCTACAAATGCCTACCGGCAAAAGCAAGTCGAAGAAGAATAAAAAGGATAAAACGAATAAGAATAAGAAGAAGCTCAACATGGCAGCGAAACCCGGAAAATCAGTTAAACGTAAAATTGTGCGCACACCACTCGATGTGGGTACCGTACGCGCGCTGATCTCACAAGTCGCCGATGAGCATCAGGCCCTTATTGATTGGTTGAAAGAGAGCATTGAAGATGCTTCCGAAGAGACCGAAGAGCCCAACGAAGAGGATGATGGTGTGCCTTTAGTGCCGCTTCAAGAGAACCTTTATAACGCTATAGAAGATGCCAATGTACAAAAGTTACTCGTTGCATTGGGCATACAACCGCCACTTTTGGGCTCAGAGAGCTATTGGCGTATACCGGTATATCTGAATTCGGCTGACTTGAAGTTGCGGGCCAAAATTTTGGCTGGCGAAGAGTTAACCGTTGATATGGAAGGCATTGAGGATGAAGCCAGTGAGAACGAACAGGAAGTGGAGGGTGGCGCTGAGTCTGACACCGCTGAGTCGGATACGGATGATGATGATGTCGGCGCAGCCCCGAAAAACGATAGTGAAAGCGAGGAAGATTTCTTCGATAATTTTGCTGAGAAGCACAAGAAACGCGTTGCGGCCATGGACGACTTTATTGAAAAGCGTGCACAGAAAATGCGCAGCATTATGTTTAACAAGAGCGACGAGGAGGACACTGAACGTGCGGGTATCGGTAAAAAGAAGAAAAATCAACGTAAGCGCAAAGAACAAGAAAAGAAGAATGTTGTAGACTCAGAGGATGACGCAGCTGGCGTTGATGAAATCAAAAGAAAACTCGACAAGAAACGTCGTCAACCCGCCATCAGTAGCGAAGACGAGGATGAACCAGTTGATGATATTTTCAATAAAAAGAAGACATCACAATTAACCAACGCGTCAGCAGCAACAAAATCTGTTGCCGCACACGATTTATTTGATGAACTAAAATCGCAAACCGGCAAGAAGAAGCAAAAGCCCGAGGAGACTACCACTTACACCGAAGAATTGGAAGAGCTCAATTTCAATTCAGAGGACTATCGCAAGCGCTTGCTGGAGCTGGGCGACAGCGACGAGAACGATGATGATAATGACACAAACGCTAAAGAAAATGTGAGCAACAAAACTGCCAATAATAAAACTCGAATGCGGCGCGCTAACGTTATTGACTCGGATAGCGAAGATGAGCAGGCGAAGGAAAATGATGATGAAATGATTGGCGGTGACAAAAAAGACAAGCACCTCCAAGGCGAAGAAGACAACAAAGACGTTAATAAAGCCAATGACAGCAATGATGTCGACACCGACAACGACGACGGCACTGATAGCAAAGAGCCTGTGAACGTTTCCGTTACTCAAGCGCATGCAGATGATAATGATGCTAGTGAACGCGGTTTGGGTGGCGACGTTATTGACACAACAAGCAACGCTGCTGTGGTTGCGGCACCACACAAACGCAGACGTGATGCTTTACTTGATAGCGATGAGGAAAATGAGGAGCCCAACAATGAAGACGAAGAGGATGCATTTATTGTGCGGCGAAAACCCACTAAAGAGGAGCAACAACGCTTAGATAGCGGTGAGGAGCCTGCCAAACGGCGTCGCCTGGCAATAATCGATGACGACGACAACGATGATGATGATGAGTAGATAGCTGCTGACCCGAAGCGATGGAACGCGAAATATACAAGTTACCCTTCAACCCAGCGCCGCTTTATGGCCATTAACTCTGTAGTTTATAAATGAATTTTGAATTTGTATTTTAATTTTGCTCATTTTCCGATATTAATGCTCGTTTCCTTTGAGTTTCTATGTTCATTATTCACAATAGCGTAAAGTGTATTTAACAACAAATTGTTTTTCCATTGTATTTGTGCTTGTATTGTATTCTCATTTGCATTTATAAATAAAGTATTGAAAAAGTATGGATTTACCGTTTAATTAAAAACTTTGACACCAAAGGCATTCAGATATTAGCAAATTGATACGTATGTTTGTATATTATAAATAAGATGTAAGATATTTTCTAAGTATTGACTAATATGATATTCAATAAGTGTTACATAAGTGGGATATTCATTTTGCCATTCATATGTGAACTTGTATTTATTTTATCAATCATAATTAGTATATCTAACTAGTGGAATCGGCCGATCGCCACGTCCTCAATCCAGCGTAAGTAACCTATAAGTCCATGCAAATTAGAATGTGTCATTACTTAAATTTTTTGCCATGCCTCTCTCAATTTCTTTTACAAAATAATAACTGCAACTGCACCGAAAAGGACTTAATATTTAAGAATTGTCAATTCCAGCTTGTTCTTGAAAAAATGATACTGATAATGATATTAAAAATAGGTTAATAGAAGAAAAAAGCTTCTGAAGACTCAATCTTCAATCATAATTTAAGCTCGGAGAGCCACCACTTCGCTTTTTGCATATCTCTCTCCCAAAAATCAAAATTCGAATTGAGTACAATTTTACAGTTCCTTTCGCAAACCATTGATTTTTTTTTTTTCATTTTCGAAAACTGTAAGGGATGGAGTCGAATTATAGTGTTCAACTAAAACTTGGTGTATTTAGATGTGAAAATCATTCGTTCAAACAACTGGAAATGATAAAAAAAATCAAAGAGGAGAAAAGTTGATGATTATAAAATTAAAAAAAAAAAAATCCTTTTAGTTGGAGTTGCAATTTGGACATAAGAAGTAGCTGGTGAATGTTTTAACGCAACTGGCATAAATTTGTAGACCTCAAGTATCACAACAACAACATCAAATATTCATGAGTTGTTGCGATTGAACACAGGATGCATCAGTAACACGCACAGAATACAAAACTCTCGATTAACTCTTCTGCTTCTTAGCGTTGCCCTTATTTACGATTGTGCCGATGGTGTTCTTGTTGTCTTTCCAGCTGACACTTTCTTCACACTTTTTTTATCAAATCGCTTTTGGTAGTCCATTTTTTTTTTAGAATAGCATCGTGTGTTCCACGTATTACGGACACATTTTCAGGCGATGTCAAAACAAACTTTTGACCACGATTTGATTTTTTGGTTCTTGTTTTCATCTTTAGCGGACAAACTGATTTCAAAGCATCATGTAGATAAAATAATATATTTACTCAGAAGACTCTGAAGTGATGACTTAGAAATTTCTTCTGGAGCTTCAATATTTGCCTTGTTGAATTTATCAATTTAGCGCCTCAATGTGGTTTTCGAGATTACATTTGCCTTAGCAACAGATGTTTGGGATTTGACATGAATTTTTACCATTTTGATTGCATCCAACATTTAGCCGAAGAAAACACGATAAAATTAATTAAAATGGCGCTAAATATTTTTTAATTAATTTAATTAAAAGAGAAACAATTATTAATAATTAAGGTGCACAGAATATACGTGTATAATTGGCTTATAGTCGTACACTTCTGTATACAAAAAATGTAATGACTATTGAAAATAATTAGCCCCAATATCTTACAAAAACTCCGCCATCATACCTTACAATCTATTGTTGAAAGTTTGACGGTGTCGCTTTCATACGGCTGAATTAGAAAAATGTGGAATACCAAAAAATGTTAAAAGGGCGCATTAGATAGTACATTTCATATATTTTCCTGACTTATTTCCAAAAGTTTTTCCTTCTAGCACTGTAAACACACATATCACATATATTTTTTTTTTCAATACTTCCTTATTCGAAATCACGAAGCATTTTTAGACAGATCACGCGTAAGTAGTGTAAAGCTGTCATGCTGTTCAGTATTGTTTGCATTTCATCATGGAAAAATTTACGGCTGACAACGCTTATAAATCGTTCAACTTTATTACGAAAATTCACGTTCTGTAAAAATGTGTTTCTAATAGCCTATTTCCACCGGACGTTAAATGCATTTTAGCTTAAATGTATTTAAACATCGCATTTAAATGCGGTAATTCCCATGTGTTTGTTGTTGTATAAAAGTGTGTTAACTCACTTTCGGCAATTTAACAGAAAATGTTATGTTAACATTCGCTGCTGTCACTAATAATGTAATCATTTCGGAAGTTTCGGTGTACTTCTTGCCAGAGTTGTGTATTTTCGGATTTAATGAGGGGCGAGACTTTTATTTTGCATGGTGAAATTTTTTGTATAAAAATTCCTTTTTTGCATTAGTTTTAACATAAATGCCTATATTAAGTAATTGGAGAAGAGAATGCTTCTCCGCCTTCAAAAAAAAACTATAAGAAAAAAAAAACAATTGTGAAATATCAAACGATCCCCTCAACATAAAAATATACGTGGCTCTGGTAACTATCAGCTGATTGCGCAAAATAAATAATTTGAGGGAACAAACAAACAAATATGAAAATGGAAACATGCATAAAAGCATATTCGTTTCAGCAACGTTTGTCCGTGCAGAAATAATCTGCACTTGCAAGTCTTAAGATTGCAGAAATAGCCAAATAAAATGAATGCAGTCTCTTGAATTCATGATTTCTATAGTTGTGGCAAATTTTGTAAACTGCAAATGTAAACAAAAATCTATTTGAGTTAACTCACTTTCGGTGGAAACGTTTGACATTTCATTTACTTAACAGAGGCCTTAAATGCATTTAAGTGCTTGGTGGAAATAGGCTATTAGATTTTTCCTGTGGGGATAAGTAAAGTCTATGCGGACAAAGCTGTTTCCATTCATGCCTTAGACAGTTACATGTCAAAATGCTCGAACGAGTAATCGAAAATTGAACTTAACGGATGGTCCATCTGAGACGCAGCGAACATTTGAAGGAGATTCTCTTCAAAAAATTAATGCCAAAGAATGTTCTTTCAAATGATAATAAACATTCTCTTTTAAATACGAAATTTCGGTGGGTTTTCTCTAAAAAAGTAGAGAACCTAGAAATAGATCGCCCTTTACAAGTAGTACAAATAACACTCCTGCTGGCTACTACTTATAATCTAACAAAAAAAAAATTATTAATAATAAAAAATTGCTTTAATGTTTTTGAAAATATGCTCCATTGAGATCTATCTCCAAAGCATACTTTCTGTCAACCGCCTCTTCGGGTGTTAAAAATGTCTGTTTATTATTTATACATATCGATTATTTGATTGCGCGAAAATGCAGTTGTTGCAGTCTATTTGACAAACAAATGGTTGTGTTCTCTTAGAGGCCTATTCTCACTGTTACCGGTGAAGTAAATTTTTGTTACTTTTTAAACACTTTTTTTTTTGTATTTGTTTTGTTACAATGTTTGAAAAAACTTTGGCAGCACTGCTTTTTTCGTCCATGACAAATTACACTTGCCAGTTGGTAAAGTCAAAAGAAGAATATTTATTTATAAATTTTCATTTAATTTGTTGACGGAAGCAAATTTTCCCGGCTTTTACTTTGACAGTCAAATTTGAAATAAACTGAAGAACAAATTAAATTGTCATTTATTGCTCGTGAACTTTTTAATATGCGCCTTCTTGTCCCTTTTTTCTTCGTCTTTAATTAATTCTAGACGTACAACATGCCTATACATTTTGGTTTCTATTTTTCACAAAATTGAACAGCTGATTGTTTGTTACCTCCTATTTTGCTGGTAACAAAATATACAGGGCGACAGTGAACTCAGAATACGAGAGAGTAACAAAATTTATTGAATGATAAATTTTAATACCAAAGTAAATTTTGTTTCCTCGACAAAATAGGCGTGTTAATCTCACAATAGATCACATGACGATCTTGCGCATAGATCATTACTTTCCGGAAGAGCAACTCATTTTGAACGAAAAATACAAAAATCGTAGTGATCTTTCCCCGAACCATCAATAAACATTTGCCCTGGGTGAAACTTCGTCGCCAAAAATTGAGTTAAGTTCATTGATGCACTTCTGATTTTTGAAAGCTATTATGACCGAATTGGCGGAAACTAAAGTTAAATTGATTTCGAAGCAATCTGTGAAGGAAAACCCTGATCATAAGAAATGGTGTAGTTATATTGATTGGGCTCATCTAAGTCTGGTATTCAATAATTTTTCGTACAATTGAAGGCTTACACACGCGTACACACCGCTTACGCGATTATAGCCGAATTAATAACATTTTGCCATTCATTTCTTCTTTTCGCTGTTTGGCGCCTGCGTCTGTCTTTCCAATATTTCTTGATTCGCTGTCTCGTATCAGCTCCATCGACTGCGGTATTTGGCAACCCCAACAGTTAGAAGGCCATAAACCTCAAGCAGATGTTTTCATGGTACATGCCTCTGCACCATATAGCTGGAAGGGAACGATTAGCGACTGTGGAGTTTGATCAATAGTTATACATTCTTATATAAGAGAGTACCTTCTCAATTCAGCTCTGCATCTCATATAATTTTCTCGAGCTATAAATTAAAAAGTCAAATAATAAGAATTCACCTTTTCTGAAACCTCCTTTTTATCTTTTATCTTTTTTAGTACAAAATATAAGCTTTCTAATGTCATCTAGCTTAGTTCAATCGAAAGCCATCTATTGCCAAAATAATGCATAAATTATTTTGGTAGTACTACAATATGCAGAGCAAGAAGGTAATGAGTCTCTACTGCGGCATTTGTATCCGCATTTAAATTAACAAATATTTCGAGCCCTACCGGTTTTTTGTGGATTGTGGAGGGCGCGCTCAGTTTCCAATCGTCGGGCAAGATACCTTCTAACAGGGTGGACATGTTTTAAACACGTAGAGAATATTGTAAAAAACTTTAGCTATTAAAATAAGGTATGAAACGAGTGTGCAAAGTGTAAAGTAAGTGCGATCCTACATATAACTATATATAATTCGCCTTTTATAAAATCAGATCAATTTGCAGTTTGCGTCTTGATGTACTTCCAACAAACGGAGAGGTCCACACTTTATTAGAAGCCTTCTCCGAACGGCTAATAGATTTTTATGAGAAGGGGTTGATGTTCCTGAAG